TGATGCTGTAGCATGTGTGTGTGGATGAGGGACCCGATCTGGAAAATTTCCTCCTCTTTATAATTCCTACTGGCTGGCCTCAGTTGAGACACTATGATCCTGGTTTCAATGGAACTAACCTAATTAAATGAAATATGTACTGTATATTAGCAAATGCAGAGATGCTCACTTGGCTGTAGGCTCCATCAACATAGAAAATAGGCCACGGCATGTGATTTTTATGATTCTGTGAGAGTTTGTGTGGATAAAACACTCTTCACAGTTACCACTCAGGGAGGATAAAGACACAAACCAGTCACAGCACTACTGTCAGTATGATTTGATGTGTGGGGAGTGAAAAAAGAACAATTCCATAAATGTTTGAGTGGGTGTAGAGAGGAGCAGACAGCGAATTGGGAAAACTGAGAAAAACAAGCGAGAGACAAAACTAGCAAGTGATGACTCAAAGTTCAGAAAGGTGCCAACTTACTTTGATGTATTTAGTTTTTTTTTACTTGAGAACATGGCTAATTTGCACTTTTATTCTATTTTCTCTGACTCAGTCCAAAACAGGATTCATGAAAAATGTTATGTATCATCAAGTTTGACATTTTAAGAAATATGTTTATTGCTTTCCTGCCAAGGGTTCCCACTAAGACAGGATCTAGCATGTGACCTTCAGCACGCATGAAGGGCAAACTCATTGTCATACTTAAGAAGATGAGCAGATTAAACAAGCTGCCTAACGTGTTAAGTAATGAGTATGGGAGGTGTGCAAAGGTGGGTTCTGATACTTCACTTAAGAAGGAAAATGAGAGTGGCATCAATCATCCCAGCTTACTTTTAGAAAGAAGCTGAATGAGTGTACACAGCAACATGTTTAAAGGTGTATGTTGCTGATGGAATGCATAAGTCAAGGATATTCACTAAAAACTTGATTATATGAACCTTTATTTTAACACTCACGTGAAAAGACCCTTTAAAAATTGACAAGGTCACCATTGAAAAAACATTTAGAATAGGTTACAAAGTGGAAGTTTGAAGACACTGAGAGACCATATATAGACCATATTTCACTGCAATTTTTATGATTGAAAACCTTCCATCCTTAAGAGTCCAAGCAGGAACACCACCTTCGACCGAGTTCCAGTGTTACCCTGCTTATACTGGAGGAGTTAGCCCTAACCCCAAAGTACCTGAGAGTGCATGATGTTCTATGTCATGTCGATTTATACAACTGCTCCCATTGTGGTGTCCTGGAAGCTCCCTTAGAAGTGTGGGAATAGCACCTTTGCGTTGTACAGGTACTGGTGACTTTCCATCACTGTTCCATAGAACGCGTCTTGGTGTACGGCATAACTGTGTGGTAATAAACATCGCACAGAGAATCTTCGGCTGCTCCCTAACATCTCTTGAAGAGGTCGCCACCGCAAAATATTTGCTACTACCACCAAGATCTGCTACCTCAGCAGAGCCATTACAGACTACACATCCAGGCCACCATCTGTTCAACCTCTTGCCCTCTGGAAGGCGATATAGAGCACTTAAAACCTTGACTAACAGACTCAAACACAACTTCTTCCCTACAGCAATACGCATCCTGAACGGACTATCACGTCCACCATCAATCTTTTATTATTGTGCAATCTATTTCATACCTTTAATTCCTTATACTTATTTATTAGTGTGCGGGTATGTGTGTGTGCAATTGTGTTTGTGTGTGAAGCTATGAATGATTGTACTGTATGTGTCTTTCTTTTTAAGCATCTTACAAGAGGAGTATACACAATTTCGTTGCATGTCCTGTACAATGACAATAAAGGCAATCTCCATCTTGAATCTTGATCGTGAATCTTGGACACATTTTGCTTTCCAGTGCAACAAGACTTTACAGAGTGTCATCTTTCTTTCAACATGGTAGTGGATAAATTACCAAAATGATTGAGTAAATTCGTGTTTCATGACACGTTGATGTTTTTAGCTGGTTAAAATGAGGGTGAATGGACGTCTCACACATCCAAATATACCATATATCACTCAGCTTTCAACCAGCAATCAACACAGAAATCCGGGTTCACTAAGTAGGGAAAGTCCTGACTTAACCTATGCTTAAATAAGTTGAGCCAGAAATCAGTTGCGTGTTAGATATACTGAACGCCTCTCATTAAACATTCCTCTACCATCTCATTAGTGCTTTGAGACACTTTTTTGTGACGACCCAAGCTCAGGAGCTATGAGGGTGGACCCAAACGAAAGAGGGAGGCAAGGAGGAAACAGGTTAAAGGAATGTGTTTTATTCACACAGTGGGGTTTTGTGGAGGGAAACCAGGTGAGGGGTCCGGTGGAGGGGTCCCAGTCGTGGTGGGGGGATCCGAGAAGTCGGTCGTCGGTGCCGAGGTAGGATGTCGTGAGGGAGGTTCCGTGGAGAGGGTCGTGGCGGCGGGTCCCGAGGTGGCGGTAGGAAATCCGGTGCTCAGGGGATGGTGCTCGTGAGACGTCTTTACCCGTGGTGGTGGGTGCTCCGTGAACCAACTCGTGAAGGTGCTTGTGGCTGTGGGTTCCCGTGGATGAAGCTCGAGGGAGAAGAAGGCAGGCGTGCTGGAAAACACTGAAGCTGGAGCCTTGAGGAGACGCTGGAGGCACACAGAAACAACAAACAAATTACACTGGTGAAAACTCGAGAGCTTAGCTTAAATGCTCAACGTGGTGTAGGAAACTAAGCGGCCTGACTGCACCACAGTGGATGTATCACAATCATCTGGCGCTGGAGTAGTGTGAGACGCTCCTTTTTGAAGGGAGAGCGGCTGATGAGATGATCAGCCACAGCTGCCAGTGCCAGAGCGTTCTCCTCAGGTTGGCTCCGCCCAGGCTGCAGGAAAAAGAGAACACACGCCCACCACAACACCAAGACAAAAGAAAACCCAAAAACTACACATATATTCACAGTCCTCACACTTTTTTTTCTCCTTTGATTTTTGGAGTATCTTAGTATCATTGTTACAAATGGACCAAGGATCCTATCTCTCATTTTTTTATAATCCCAACGAGCTTCATGTGAAAGCAGTGATGGAATCACCTAAATAATACTGAACATTTTCATATAAAACATGCAAATAATGTTATTCAGATGACACCACAGATTTCATTAGGGTGATCAGCCTTTTCCTTTGATTCTTCTGTTCATTTTTTCTTGCTCTATTCCTGTACATGTGCATAAATGGAAAAAAAAAACCCTTTGATTAATAAAGTACTTGATCAAGAGGCAAATATGAGCAAAGATTTACTTCATTGTTTTCAGATTTTATTTCAGTCGATCCCTGCGAAGGAAGAATAATGTAGCAGTTCCGACAATTATGAGTAGACAGAAAATAAAGGAAGATGAGATATTGGATGTCTCAAATATTTATACCTTTATTCCAGCCAGAAAAGGTCTGATCTGATTGATGCCTTGGATCCATTACATGTATTGGATGCACTATAATTAGAGACTGGTGCATCATCGAGTGAATGGTGTGTTTACTCTTTGGGATGAATTTGAAAAATAGATGAATGGTGGAGAAATGAATGAATTTGCATTCGACCCACTTCCATTTGATTTGAATAAACACAGGGGAAGTTGTAATATGCAGATAAAGTTGTGAATGCAAGCTGTGAGGAGATATTTAAAGTCGTGAAACCCATTAAGGCTGAAGACAGAAAGCTTCCCTCCAGACATGCTGACATGATGATCATCCAAATGGGGTCAAAGGATCAGCTCTTTGTAGTATTGCACTTGTGCACTCTCATAGACTGTATATACAGCCTGACAAAGCCTCTGTAACGTCACCCACAGGTTTCCAGAACCTGGAAGTGAAAAGCTGAGTATGGTGGCTCCAGCCGTTGCTATCTTGTAAAGTGTTTGAACCAGCTATCAGTTAACTACAGGACGAGGGATCACAGGCTAACTGTTTCAAAATAGCTTCCCCAAGAAAGGTTGCAAACCAATAAAGTAACTATGTTCTCTTAAAAAGCAGCTTTTGTGCAGGCATGACCCATAGTTAATTTCAATCTGACAGTGACCCTTAGTGGCCATAGTAATTACACCCAGAGCAAATGAGAGTAGTGATAGAAATAGATAGAAAGTGATAGTAGTTATGGATTCACAAAGTCTATGTAGGAGGTTGTTGGGGTAGATGGATGGGTCGGCTAAACACTGAACTTTTTTTTTCTACTGCTGTTTTATTAGCTGTAACTTGACCATGACCTTTTTCATATCCTTGATCGTGCTAATCATTGCAGCCATGACAACGAAGGTCCTGAGTGAATCGAAAAGTTTCAAGATTGCGATTATAAAAAGCAAAAACCATCCCTGATTTGAATTCCCTACATCTGACCAACATTCTGACTCTATCGGACTACCAATAGGCAATAATGTCTTCTTCTTTAAGTAGAAGCTCATCTTTGGTAACCAGCCCATCACCCAACCAACATGAGTTCAAATTGTCAATTGAAATTATTTATGAATGACAAGAACAGACATGCTTCTTTTGTCAAATAGTAAAAAAGACAACATGTTGGTACTTTTGATTCTGACACAACAGCTGCGTGTGCAGTTCTGCAACACTCCATCCTGGAGTGTCTTGGCTCATCTAAGGGGATTATACGTAATGTGTGAGGATAAACTTTATTTTGGTACGAAAAGACACCTGAGGGATATGGCAGTGACACCATAGACACTGTTTGCCACTAATCTGATTCTGCCAGGCAATCCTGTTAACTGTGCTCTCTAAATTACGCTATAATGAGTTCTTTGAGCTTGAATTCTGTGTATGTGTTTAGGCAATTCAAAAGAAAAAAAAAACCTGTGCCTATCTTTCTAAATGCACACAGGAACTGATAGCTGCACGTTTGCTATTTTTACCCACATGCTGTTTACAAAGGGACCACGCTCTGCAAACCGTGGGGGAGTGTGTATGTGTGTGTTTAGAGGATTTACAACAGCAGTATTAATAGCCGTGTTCTTTCCTATGTCTCCTTGACAGATATGACTGAGCTGAGGAAGGGGAAGAAAGCACAGGACGAACCTGTTGGAGACGCGAACAGCAGCAGACCATCAGCTCCTCGTCACCGCGACGCTGAAAGAGGACGAGGAAGTTTCTTTTTGTATTTTCTTTTTCAATACGCGTGGGCACAGTAGTGCCGTATGAGCGCCAGCAGGAACTGAATGTGACGCTGGCTGCTGCTGCTGTTTGAGACTGTGTACAAAACAGAGACTCCTATATCTGTGGTGGGTCACTCGCAGAACTTTCTGTGGCAATGGAGCGAGAGATCATAACGAAAAAGAGGCTCTTCAACTTTTATGATTTTCTGTCAAGTTCCCCTTTCTGTCCTCCTTACGTTGCATTGGGTCGGCCTGAGTGTGAAAATGTCTTTAAATCTGCTCTTGGTGATTGAGAGGAGCTCAACAGGGGAGTCATGCTGTTGACGCACAACGAAGGAAAGGCAACATTATCCATGGTTTGGTTTACAAAAAAACAAAAAAAGAAAAAAAATGGAAACAATACAGTTATGACAGTCAAGCTGCAGTGATATGAGTGCATGATGGCTTCAGCTGCAGCACGTGACTGCTTTCAGAGGACACCTGAATGTTCTGAAATAGGAAATATTAGGTAGACACTTTGGGGAATACAGCTGTTTGCTTTCTTTCTCAGAATTAGACACAAAGGGGGGACGCTGCTCTTCTTATCTGTAGTCTAAATGTAAATCTATCTTCAGCTGATGCTTCGCTGAGAAGTGTAAAAGGGGAAAACAGTGAATCTGGCTGTGTCCAAAGGTAACAAAATCTATCTTAAAGCTCCAAAACGAACACCGTACATCTCTTTGTTTTGACGACATAAAATCCAAAGTGGAAAAATGACACTTTGTGGTTGCTGGTGGGTAGATTCTGTTTTCTGTTTCTAAAGCCAATCAGAAGCTGGCGATAGCATCATATTTACAGTACAGATACAAGAACGGCATCGATCTTCTCATCTCTGTGAGTAATGACTGCATACTCCAACATATTTGAAATAATCCTTTAAAGGCGAAGCATTGTTCACACAGACGACAGCACTGTTTGGATGAAAATGAGCTTCTCTCATTCATTTGATTTTGAATGGAACGACATTTGCATCTCTTCAGCAAAAAGTCGCACGACAAAGACGTTTAACTCCGCCCTACTTTGACCACAGCTTATGTCACTGATCTGCAGGGTTTTACTTTCTGATAAGCTTTCAAACTCAAGGATTTCTAACTGAAACAACAACTGCAGGCTCTTGTATTTTTTTTTTAACGCGGTGCTGTTCTCTGTCTAAACACCCAATAAGGCTGGCAATATTCTGCATTTTTTTCCCCCTCTTTCAACAAATGCAATGAAAAGACCAAAACCAACAATAAATGGATGTGTAGCCAAAGCCAATACAACAATACCCATAATCCTCTCTACAGTGGAGCTCCATTGAGATCCAGAAAACTATTAAAAAGACACCAGTGAGCCACACTGGTGCACTGGATGCTTCTTCATTACCATGGGAGCTCACAGTGTAGTTTATTTACACTCTACCCCACATATACCATCCTGCTGTAAACACTCAGGAGAGCTCCAACTGTGGATTAATCTGCAGCTAAAAATAGTCGCCAACAAATGGACTCTTTCCTCCTCTGGAAGAAACGACTGTATTGGGCTGTTTTGTGGAAATACTTTTTAAAAAATGAAATTAGTCTTGAAGAATTTTCAAAGACAGGATGAATAAATGGTGTTGAGGACCACAGACAGTACGAGAACGCTGATACTACGACGATACAGGTTTTGGTCTTTCCAGGAAAAAAATCGAATTACACCAGCCTTAAAACACTACAACTCTGCTCTGAACAATTTGTAACAAATTGTAAAAAGACGAACTGAAGCATACGGTTGAGAAAAAAAAAAAAAAGGATTTCCCCCATATAGATATTGTTGCCAATGTATTTCTTCTGTTTACAGATATTTAAATTCCTTCGCATGTCAATACTGCTTTTTAATGCTACTGTGCGATGCTATCAAATTCTGCAACATCCCGACGAAGCACTGAAAAAAAGCCACAAGTGCTTTCGGTGTGTGTTCTCTCAGGTCTGCGAGGCTCCTCTGGGGCCCCTATTGTCATCCCAGGCCCAGTTTGATCATCTCACGGCTTCAATTCTAATAAAAGAAAGGATACAAAGAGCGCAAGAAGAGTTGCAGGTAGGAATAGAGCTGTTACATCTCTATTGATTTAACTCCCAGTACAGCAGGAGACAAGCTGCACAACATCGCCTGGCTGATGCATATTTAACCAATCAAACCTCTGAAGAAATCTTGTTCTTGGATTTGGGAGGTTTTGTGTGCAGGAGCTTGAAAAGAGAGAAATTTACTCAGATATCACAGTGGGACCGGAAGATGTTCAATAGCCTTTTGTAGATGTAGCCTGCTGGCTTTTTGCACACATGTACACTGTATATAGACACATGAGAAATCAACACTGGCTATGCTGTGGAGTAAAGCCAGATTTCACACCCTGGAATTGAGTCCACAACGTCATAAATAAACCTATTTACTGGAGGCAGATGGAGTTGCTTGCAAGCCAAAAAAGCATGACAAGGTTTGGTTGCTTTCCGTGCTCTTTGAACAGTAGGTTACTTGGAATACAAGAAGAGGAAGTGTTAATCTGAACACTGTGTAATAGTATAGGCTCCATTCCTGCATTTTAATACCTGAGCTAGAGTGAGTGTTAAGATTTGGTTTCATTTTTTTTGCCTGCATTGTCACATATAGGAAGGAAAATGAGAGTTTCTGCAATGTTTAAGGTCCACATTAATATTCATTACAAGGCTCGGAGACTGTTTTTAATAACTGTTTTGGATTGTAATCATAAACTAATCAAAACTTCTAAATTGCTCACTGCATAGTTTCATTTAAGAGACGCAAAGCCGAGCTCAGTGGACTGTGGAAAAAACCTCTGCAATACTCGATACTGCCATAAGTATGAAATGCATATATTTGTATTAATTCAACTTCTGTTAGATCTGAGTCAGTGTCTACTTGAATATAAATCCATCAGCTACAACATTGAAATCTAATATTGTGTAGGTCCTGGCTATCAAATTGAGATCTGAGAAAACACCTTAAACTGTTTGCGGTGTTCTTCACACGACTCCCGAAGAACTTTTGTGGTGTGACAGGGAGTGTTATCCTGCTGAGAGAGCGAGGCCACTGCCTTCAGGGAATATTGCTGCCATGACGGTGTGTGCCTGGTAGGTGGTACATGTCAAAGTAGCATCTACATTAATGCCTCAACTCAAGGTCGCTGAGCAGAACATTGGCAAAGATCACATTGACTCTGCAGGTTCACCTTCTACCCACAGAGCATCAAGCTGCTGTCTCTTCTACAGGTAAACAGCATGCTCAACTCACGGCCAACAACATGATATAAAAGAAAACTTGATTCGTCAGAACAGGCCCCCTTCTTACATGGCTCCATGGTCCAGCTCTGACACTCGCTTGGCACTTGTAGGTGGGATCAACACAGACACTATGACCAGTCTGTAGCCCAAAATACACCAAGTTGTGATGTACTGTGTGTTCTGACTACTGACTATGGTAGCTAAATTTTAGATTCTCAGTAGTTTCCGCTACAGTATCTCTTCTGTGGGATCAGAACACATGGGTTTAGCTTTCTCTTCTATGTACACCAATGAGCTTTGGGCGACCTTGTCATTGGTTCATCTTTTGTACTTCGTTAGACCACTTTTAGTTGACTAACCACACTCCAGAACAGTAGGAACACAACACCTGCTGACCCAGTAGTCTAGCCATCACCATTTGACTCTTATCAATATTGCCCAGATCCTTGCACGTCTTCATTTTTACTGCTTTCAGAACATCAACTTCAAGAACTGACTGTTAACTTTCACTTCACAAATCAGAGGTTTCAATGTTGTGGCTGATCGACACGTATTAAATTAAGGACCAACCCACACGTCAAAATTTGCTGACTTGTTGCTGGCAGAACTGCTCAGCCTGTTGTGTAATGTTCTGTTGTCGGGAGCTTTCCTCATGTTTTCATCACGACTTTCTCCGCTTGAGCTTTGACACTTCAGATTCTTCCGGGATTACAAACAGGAGGCATAAAGTTTAAAAGACTTTACCAGGGAAGGACAAACACATGGGAATTGAAGGATCCAACATTCTTTGGCTCTCAACCTCAATTTGGCCTCTTTGCAGATTTTTTTATTTCTAAATATCCAACTGCTATGAGTTTTCCAGCTTCACAGAAGTACAAAATGCTATTGTAGTAATCCTTTACTTATCAGATGTGATTGAATCATCTAGTTCAATGTAGCAGAAAACAATTCAATAAGGGACCAAAATGATGTATTTAATTATTCTTAGCCAATTATCTCAGGAAGGTTTAAGTGAAGCAACCTTAGAGATCTAACTCAGTCTGTAAAATAGCTTGTAACTGCAAAGACTGCACCAGAAAGCTGCCACACTACACTCCTATAATCCTTTCTGTCAGTACAGGCTTTAGCAAAAAACCACAAGGGCTGAGAGAAAACATACCAGAGCATTTAACACCAGGCTTCTGTAACAAATTTCTACTGGCTGATACTGAACAACACGATCATCCTATTAGTTCTGATGAAAGCTTGTGTAAAATTCTGTCGATGTATGGATTCATAGCAAAAATGTAGGAGTGTAGCTGCAAGATTTTCAAGTTACGCAACCAGAGACTCATTTTCTTCAACTCTGTAGTCAGACAAAGTGAGAGGCAAATTTTGTTATTGGGTACAAATTCAACAGAAAGACACAACTAGATGCAAATTCACCTGGAGTGGGACAAACTGACCCAAAGACATGTTTGCACGAGTTACAAATGTCGAAATGTGAGCAAAAAAGTAAATAAAAATCACTTGAATCTTTTGTCCATCTACTTCATAAATGTATAGGTCAGACTAATGATGAGGGAGCAACACATGCATTTGTTTCTAGCTGGCTTCCAGCTAAAGTCTGTCAGGACCTTGACTGTTGTGAGGCAAATAAACACAGACCAGTGCTAAGATTTGTGCTTTTTCTTTCTGCTTTCTGTCTGCATACACCATAATATGGGATGACTGATGATAGCGGTGAGTCTCAACCACACTATGTGGGTTAGGAGCCAAAAACAATGCGTTAAAAGTAGGTAAACATTGCATAAAGCTGTAGAGTTGGCTGTTGATTCTCAGTGGGTTGAGTATTATATTATAGACCCATTGCTATTACAGTTTTCATACTTCCTCATAAATGTCATTTGTGGTTAAATGGACTCCTGTAAATTCAATCCCACTCAACCCTAAAAAAAAAGAAAGAAATGCCCTTAAAAGTGTTTCGGGGCAACCTGATAGCTGAGTGGTTAGATTGCATCCCACATGGGCACGAATGCCTGAGCAGCAAGTTTCCTAGTTTGAAACCTGGGCCATTTACTGCATGTCATATCCCTGCTTTCGCTTCCTCTTCCCCGTCTCTATCCACTGGCCCTATTAACAAAGGCCCAAAGCAAATGTGTTAAAAAGAAAAGTGTTAAAACCAGGTTACTTCAAGCGTGTAGCCTGGTCACTTGAGCCTGCTTGTACGGTTGATGTATCTCTCCGAGTTCAGCTTGGAAATACATAAATCACAGGGTTAAGAAGAGACTTTTCTGTGCATGTTGATGTAGCCACTTGGGACATTCATCTTGTAAGAGGTTGTATGTGCAGGCGACCGTTCTTTAGTACAATGTGTAAATCTCCACCTGCTTAATTAGGTTGCGTTATGCTATAAAACAATGGATCAGAAACGCAGTCCAGTCAGGGGTTTGTGTGCCCTTGGCTGATGTTGTATTTATATTGAATTGCATTCTCCCTGCGGGTGGCGTAAACACCTGGAGCTACATCACAGTGCAAAACTGATGCTGTTCTTCTGTTATCTTCTGTCAACTGAAGACAATGAGTGATGTAAATTATGTGCACTCTTATTAAAGAAACAGTTTGACCTCTCCGTGTCTGTGTCCTTCATAGAGCGGATGCTAATCTTGGTAATTAATTGGTTTAATCATATTTCCTACTTTACCTTGTACTACTGGGAGGTTATTTGAAGGAACCTGCTCATCATCCTTAATGAAGACATATATTTGAAGAAGTCTGAAGTTTACAAATTTCTGTGACTGCAATAAATATTGACTAAAGAAACAAACACATTTGAAAACTGTCATTTTGAAGTAAATTATTTACTTTTGCGATGCTTCTTTCCTATTTTGTCTGAGAAAAGAAGGGAACCCACATTTGTGAATATGGTGGTGCTCACTGAAAATATGTCATATGGATGTTAACATTCAAGTAAATGTGCTTGGAACAAAGTTGAAAATATATGTAATGTTATATTTAATGCTTATACATATATGTATGTGTATTTACTGTATATATATAGAGAGAGACATTATAAACATATTTAAGAACTCAATGCAGTCACAGAGTCAAGTCACTCAAAATCCTTTCCTTTCACCTTCAGCAACCTGAGCAAAGTCCTCTAAATTATAAAAAAACAAAAACAAAACTGAGACATCACCGTCCTTGATATTGTGCCTGGATGGATGGAGTAGACTGGGGCTCATATTGAAAAGTAGACCTTGAGACCTAATATGATTTAGCATGCATTTCATCTCTGACTGCAAGCACCAGCTCTGCTAGTGGGTTAGGTTTTACTCCTGATCTGACTGCACTCACTTGATGTGATGTTGCTTTAAAGTCCCTCTCAAGTCGTTGATTAACCCTGTAAGACCCACAGTTGCAATGTTGCATAAGTCCCTTTAGCCATCTTATAAAATAATCTGTAAATGGTGTTTTTAAAACACTGCATAAGCCATGGATCCTATTATTTAGCCTAACAATGCTATTGGATAATAGATGAACTCATACAACCCAAAAATTTCACTTTAGGCCCATCTCTTTGATTTATTAGATAATGGACAAATACATTTATTTGATGTTGCAATATTACACTATTTCCCTAAAAAAATATAATTTGTCTGACAACAACATCTGACATGTGAAAAATGTGGAAAAAATGACCTATATTTGGGTATCACAGGGCTAGACCTCTAAAAATTCCTTTTTTTTTAATTAAATGAATCCCCTGCCTTAAAACGACTTTAATTTATGAGGGTACTTCAAAAAGTTCTTGGCCTGATCAGAAAACTTCACAGGAGAAAGATTGTTCTTGCATTATTTTTAAACACAGTCTCCTTCAACTTCAATGCACATAATCCACCTGTGTTTAAGCTTTGCTTTCCCTTCACAGAAGAAGGTCACATGTTGAGCGTCCAGATACTCCTCAGCAGCATGCATGACTTCCTCATCATTCTGAAAATGATTACAAAGCAAGTTAGATTATAGCTATCCTCTAACCTTTTTCTTTGATTGTTTCTAACATGGGCTGCAAGGTGGCTCAGTGGTTAGTTAGAAGATCCTCAGTTCATGTCCTGGTTAAGATGCCTGGCATCTTTCTGCATGGAGTTTGCATGTTCTCCCCGTGCAGCATGGGTTCTCTCCGGGTTCTCCCGCTTCCTCCCACAGTCCAAAAACATGTTGAGGTTAATTGGTGATTCTAAATTGTCCGTAGGTGTGAAAGTGAGTGTGCTTGGTTGTCTCTAAGTGTAGCCCTGTGATAGACTGGTGACCTGTCCAGGGTGTCCCCTGCCTTCACCCTGAGTCAGCTGGGATAGACTCCAGGCCCCCAACGACCCTAGTGAGGATTAAGCGGTGTATAGATAATGGATGGATGGGTGTTTCAAATATCTGAGTTTTTATTGACAGTGATGTTAGGCTATGTAGTATACAATTATGCCCCAAAATTGGAGTTACACCATTTACTTCGTGGTGAGGCCAAGAACCTTTTTTAAGTGTCCGTAGAACTATCCTATCGCTTCTGTTGCTTCTTGCAGTTCAAGCGCACCACCTCATCTATGACTCTGTTTAAACAATGTAAATCTACACCATCCAATGGCAAGTTGTGATAGTGGAGCAGTTCAACCATACATATTTAAAACCATTCTGAAGAAGAATGTAATGGTATGGAAAGCTCCACCCTGCAGTCTGACGGAACTGGTTCTTTAGAAGTGTTACATATAAACTCTGGAACTCTGAATTTGTGTTTTTGAAACTATCACCAGTAAACTGCAGGTTCAAGGTGAAAATGCTCAGCCATGACTTTGACTGCCTTTTTTAATTCTTGATGTGTCTTTCAACATACAAAACTCCTCATAAACATGTTAACAAGTTAAGCAAAAGAATAGTTTCCTCCAGAAGGGTTCTTGAATGATGAATGCTAAACACTATATAAGTCACTCCTGATATCTGTGAATTATGGGTCATAACAGTGTGAATTTATTCACAGTCTATAATCAGGTGAAAACAACTGTATACTTCTCATGCCAGGAGCAGAGGAGCAATAAATATAAAACGCCACACACCAGCTGCACTTTTTGTCATAAAGGCATTAGCAAAACAACGCTGAGCACATAACTCACATCATGCAAAGTAAAGTCAACTTTAGTGTTTTAAAGTGCTGAGTGCTTTCTCGCTTTCTTTCTCTCTCTCTTTGCTGAGTGCAGTTTCTTAACCCAGTGCTGATCAGCACTTTTAGGACATGCATATGTGCTCTCGGGGCAACTTTACAGGCATGAAGCAGAAAATTAGGACTAAAATAGCAAAACATCTGATGAATGCAATTTGGATTCATTGGACAGAAGTTTCGCTCGTTGTTTGTCTGGTTCAACACCTTCATATCCACTGAGGTTTGTGGTTTTACTATAAATCTGTAGAAAATATCCAGCTATGGTCCTAATGAGCTGCTTTAAATCCATGACTGTATACTCCTCTTTGCTAGCCAGGATACATGCAACCAGGAATCTATCTCCTCACTCCTGTTGCTCTACTGCAGTGCACATCATATATAAACTTGCAGGTTCATAGGAGCTAACATGGCCTTGGGGTGTTGGTAGTCTTGATGGTCAGATGTAGGAGCAAAGGAAATGATGGTGGGGAAAATGAATGTCCTCTACCCTCCTTCAGAAACTACTTTCAAAATACCTTTGATCAAGGTCTACAACCCTGACCTGCAACCTGGAACAACCTTAAAAACAGACTGGGGCTTTTGAGGTGTGATATTTGTATTCAGCCTGTTTGAACCAAAAAATTCTGTTTTTCTCCTGTGAGCAGCCCCAGTAATGGAGGATAATAAACACTGATCAAAACTACTCAAAAAAAGGGTTTAGTTGTGCCAATGGTGCATTTTAATAGGCCTGATCAAACACAACTGCACTCCAAGTTTAGAGATTTTGAGAAAGAAATAACGATGATCAAAGGGATTTTTAAAGAAACTACAATTTGGCCAACTCAGCAAGAAATACAGGTAAATGATATTTGTCTATATTGTTCTTAACATGTCACTTTTTGCTGGTGTTTAACAGAATTACATGAGCTTGGGGTTACAAATTGATATATTTGTAAATAAGATAAATATAATCATAAATGTCAACACATTAGTCGGCACAAAACTGTCAAGCAACCAAAAGAACCCATGATGTTTGTTTTATGCAGCGTTCAAGGAATGGAGTCTGTTCTGGGTATGAAACTAAAATGACTTGATGGCTTGGGTTCCTGGAAGAAGCATGATCTCCCAGATTAGTTTCCAATTCGTGTTGGAGCTCTTTGAGAGAGGTCAGCCCTCCACAGTCTGTCAATAAATGGAAGCTTACAGGAGGCCTTAAGCAAGATGGAATATATTGTCAAGACCAGTCCGCTGGGGCTGTTCAGCGCTGTATAAAAGTGAATGTGTGGAGAGGGAAGCATCACTGCGCTGTGAGTTGGAGGGAGTAAAAAGAAAGATGTGCCAGGTAGATTGAAATGTTTCTAGGTGCCTTGAAATGCTTGCAGACCCACAGGACCATGAAGTATGTGGGAAGAATAGCCAAGGCAGGGGGATGGTGCTAATGGGGATCCTGATAAAAGGAAGAAAGAAATGTCACTGAGCTTGCCACTTTATGGGCTCTCAAAGAATCTTGCTGTTGAAAATCAGCCAACTGACACATTTAGAGCAATACGGACTGTGTTGTTCTCATTGGACTGACAGAAAAAGATATTTTGTGCCATTTTTTAAGTCATATTTTCAGCATATTCCAAAAACCACACAGCTACTGACACTCCCTCAGCTGCACCTAGTGTGTCGAGCTATTTTACAAATGTTACCATGCCAAGATTTAAAATGAAGATTATAGTCATGGTAACACGATAGCTGCTAAACATCAACAGATTTACACTGCCTTTATGAGCATATTATATGGATGCATTAACTGAGCTGGATATAGCACCGCCATTCAGACTTGTTGCCAATTTCTCCCAGTCACAGCGTGCACTCTGGCAATAAAAAAAAAATCCCTGAAAGTCTCCTTTTTTCCCCATTGAGACATGATTTTGTTCTCACCTGGGATGTTTTAAATTTTTAAGCTGCCCCAGAGTTATATTTTTGTGACATTGAGCCTTTGGGGTGTGGAAACAATAATGCACATCACACAACACAGAAGCAAACCTGAAAGCTAGAAAACTTTATTGGCTCACGGTGTTATTGACTCTACAGCTCCAGACTTTATAGCTTCTCTCAGCTCTTTCTGACCATGGCCTATGTTGTTTGGGGTCAGATCAGTAATCCAGAAGGGACGAACTAAAGGGGAGTGAATAGTGGATTTCACTGATCAGATGAATACAAATACGACCTCTTACTGCTCTGTCTGCTGGATGTGTAGATAGCCAGCCATATGCTGACAAGTTTTGGATAATGCTAAAGAAAAAGAAAGAGGCAGCTTTGGCACAGGAGTTTTTCAATCCCACTCGCACCCACTCCTGCTGAATTTGTGATTATCCAGCCTGAATGTGTGTGTTCCACTTCTGTTCATAACGTAGAGTTCTACTGATTCGTCTTCCTCTCCTGTCCTGCAGGGAAAA